CAGGGCCACCAGTAACCACAAGGTGAAGGAGACGGTTGCCCTGGAGCTGAGCTACGTCAACTCCAACCTGCAGCTGCTCAAGGAGGAGCTGGAGGAGCTCAACAGCAGCGTGGACGTGTATCAGAACGACAGGTACATCCCTGTGGGAAGAGCTCCTTCATCCTTTGGGAATTTGGGGTTTTATCCTTAGGATTTAATGTTGGGATATTGGGAAAGAATTCTTCCCTGTGAGGGTGGTGGAATAGGATTCCCAGCGAAACTGTGGCTGCCTCTGGGTCCCTGGAAGTGTCCAAGGCCAGGTTGGAGCAAGCTGGGATAGTGGGAGGTGTCCCTGCCCACGGCAGGGGGTTGGAATTCCAGGCTGGGAGAGCTGGGAATGTCCAACCTGGAGAAGAGAAGGATCCAGGGAGACCTTGGAGCCCCTTCCAGGGCCTAAAGGGGCTCCAGGAGAGCTGGAGAGGGACTTGGGACAAGGGATGGAGGGGCAGGACACAGGGAATGGCTTCAGACTGAAACATAGGAGCTTTAGATGGGATATTGGGAAGGAATTCCTGGCTGGGAGGGTGATGAGGGTCTGGAATGGAATTCCCAGGGGAACTGTGGCTGCCTCATTCCTGAAAGTGTCCATGGCCAGGTTGGAGCAAGCTGGGATGGTGGGAGGATCTTTCCACTCCCTTCCAAGCCAAACCATTCCATGCTCACTGGAATGAATGGATTCGTTGCTGCCGGTCAGTGAAGTGCCCTGAGGGGACGCTGGGCTTAAAAAGCCTGACCTGGTGACAAAGATCAGGGAGCAAATCCTCCTGGGAATTCTGCTCAGCCACCTGGAAAATATCCAGGTGCCTGCTGGCAGCCCGGAGCAAGAAGGGAAAACTCTCTTTGTTCCATGTTGGAAGGTGATTTTCTGGGCAGACCTTTGTCCTGGAGGGGCTGGGATGGGGGAAGGACTGAAAAGGGGACTGAAAACTGGTTTATAGGATTAAATACTGGTTTATAGGGAGTAAAAACTGGGTTTTAGGGAGTAAAATCTGCTTTATAGGGACTACAACTGGTTTATAGGGACTAAAAACTGATTTATAGGGAGTAAAAAGTGGTTTATAGGGACTAAAACAGGTTTATAGGGATTAACAATTGGTTTATAGGGAGTAAAAAGTGGTTTGTATGGACTAAAACCTGTTTACTAAAATCTGGTTTATAGGGAGTAAAAAGTGGTTTGTAGGGACTAAAACCTGTTTACTAAAATCTGGTTTATAGGGAGTAAAATCTGCATTATAGGGACTAAAACTGGTTTATCGGGAGTAAAAACTGGTTTATAGGGACTAAAACTGGTTTACTAAAAACTGGTTTTTAGGGACTAAAATCTGGTTTATAGGGTCTAAAAGTGGTTTTTAGGGACTAAAAACTGGTTTACAAGGTCTAAAAGTGGTTTATAGGGAGTAAAAACTGGTTTATAGGGACTAAAAAACTGGTTTTTAGGGACTAAAATCTGGTTTATANACTAAAACCGGTTTACTAAAAACCGGTTTACAGGGACTAAAATCTGGTTTTTAGGGACTAAAAACTGGTTTACAGGGACTAAAAACTGGTTTACAGGGTCTAAAAGTGGTTTTTAGGGACTAAAAACTGGTTTACAGGGACTAAAAACTGGTTTACAAGGTCTAAAAGTGGTTTATAGGGAGTAAAAACTGGTTTATAGGGACTAAAAAACTGGTTTTTAGGGACTAAAATCTGGTTTATAGGGACTAAAACCGGTTTACTAAAAACTGGTTTATAGGGACTAAAAACTGGGTTTTAGGGACTAAAAACTGGTTTACAGGAACTGAGCACTGCTTTATAGGACTAAATGCTGGTTTATAAAGAGTAAAAACTGGTTTATAGGGAGTCAGATCTGGGTTTTAGGGACTAAAAACTGATTTAGAGGGACTGAAACCGGTTTACTAAAAACCGGTTTACAGGGACTAAAATCTGGTTTTTAGGGACTAAAAACTGGTTTACAGGGACTGAAACTGGTTTACAGGGATTATAACAGTCTGGATGAGCAGCAGAGCCTGGAGCAGACAGGAATTCCAGCCCTGCAAAGAGCCCCCAAAGCTGGATCCATCATGGAATTCCTCTGCACAGAGACAGGGAATGGGAACCTGCTGTGGCACCTGCAGCTCCTCCCAGCTCCACAAATGATATCCAGGAGGGATGTCCCCGATCCCAGCACAGATCCATGTCCCACACATCCATGGACACCTGCACTTCGGAGCAAAAATTCCTTAAGTTAATTTTGAGCCTGTGAGAATGAAAGTCTAAACTAGACCAGGGGTCCAGAGACTCAGGGTTCCTGCTGTTGGAGTCATTCCAGTCCTCTAAGGAAAGGCTCAGAGAACTGGGATTGTTCAGCCTGGGGAAGAGAAGGTTTGGGGGTGACCTGGTTGTGGTTTTCCAGTACCCGAAGGGAGCTGGGAGGAAACACGGAGAGGGACTTTGGACAAGGACATGGAGTGACAAGAGAATGGGAATGGCTTCAAACTGCCAGAGGGTTAGATGGGATATTGGGAAGGAATTCTTCCCTGGGAGGGCAGTGAGGGGCTGGAATAGAATTCCCAGAGAAGAGAATTCCCTGTGGCTGCCCCATCCCTGGAAGTGTTCAAGGCCAGGTTTTTAGGAAAGCCCCTTCCAACCCAAACCATTCCATGACTGTACATTTCTGTGCCCATCCTGCTTTTCCTGGCACATGGGAAGGATTTCTGTGCTGCTGGGAACGGAGGTGCAAAGACCAGGAAAACTCCAGGGGGTGATGGAGTGACTCCATCCTGTGGAGTGACATTAAATATAGGATTGGGATGACCTGTGTGCTGGATTTTTTTTTTAGGATCACAGGTCTCCTATGGAGAGAAAGCCAAGGAAATCCAAATCTCCACCATCTTCGAGTGTTTCCTGCACTCAGAAGGTCTTTTGGAGTCTGAATTTAAACCTGGATACTGATCCTTCTGCCCTAAAACAGGAATTCGTTTCCTCCCCAACATTCCCTGTCAGGGATATTTGGCTTTTCCAATCTGGTTTGCCCTGGTTTAAAAAAGCAAACAAGGGCAGCACCAACCCCAAAGTCCTGCCCAGGAAAAACAAAAGTCCCTTTGTTAGCTCCAGGCATTGGATCCAAGTGGAAATCTTGTTAGGGAAGGAGCTGTAACGGGTTTGCTGCCCTAATTATGGCTCTTGGAGCTGTTTGTTCAGCAGGAACGGGTGAAAATGGGGATGAAAAATTCCCTGCCCTGCTCCCTCTGGATTTTGTAACTTCCTCTGCCTCTTTTCCTCGCTAATGAGCGATGGGATAACGAGTTATCAGTTAATCTGGGAGGGAATGAGGGGGAATTGTGGTGCAAACCTGGTTGGATCCTGCCTGTCCCACCTCCCATCCCACTCTCTGCCAAGTTTTCTGGTCTCCAAACCAATCCTTTGGGAATGCAGGTGTCCATGGATGTGTGGGACATGGATCAGTGCTGGAATTGGGGACATCCCTCCTGGATATCATTTATGGAGCTGGTAGGAGCTGCAGGTGCCACAGCAGGTTCCCATTCCCTGTCTCTGTGCAGAGGAATTCCATGATGGATCCAGCTTTGGGAGCTCTTTGCAAGGCTGGAATTCCTGTCTGCTCCAGACTCTGCTGCTCATCCAGACCGTTTTTATCCTTCTTGGCAGCAGAAAATCAAAATAGCTGTTAAATCTATGAGGGTGGGGAGGTGCTGGAAGAGAATTCCCAGAGAATCTGTGGCTGCCCCATCCCTGGAAGCATCCAAGATCAGGTTAGATGGGGCTTGGAGCAACCTGGAATAGTGGGATATGTCCCTGCCCATGGCAGGGGGTGGAACTGGATGGTCTTTCAGGTCCCTTTCAACCCAAAAAATTCCACGAAAAGCAGAAGCTGGAGGAACAAGAGGGATGTTTTCAGGCTCTCTTTGTACTGCCATTCCCAAATTATTCTGGGAAGAGCATCCTTCTGTTGTTCCAAGTCTCTCTTTACCCTTTTTTAGGAGCAAAAAGCTGCTCCATTTTAATCCCTGTCACCCAGGATCCCTCCAAGACTTGGAAACCAACTCCCACATAAGTTGTTGTCTTTTCCAGTGAGTCCATCAGTGTTCCCATGATCCCTTTGGGATTGAAGGAGACCAAGGAGCTGGATTTGCTGGTTCCACTGAAGGTGAGTTCTGTGCCCTTGGTGGATGGAAAATAAAACATTTCCTAGTTTGGAACAGCTGCAAAAAAATAAATTCCTGGGGGAGAACCTGACTTAAAACATGGGAAAGTGGGAGATGAGGGTCTGAAGATGCTGGAGAGCATCTGGAAAGAGGGAAGAGATGTTTTCTTGAGGGCAGAGTTGGCAAATTGCTTGTCCAGAATTGTCCGAAATCAGCCTTTTAAATCATAAAAATCTGTTTGGAAGGGGTCACTCGCTCAGGGTTTTTCTCCTGTTGTTTTTTTTTCCATCCAGGATTTCATCAGTGAACACTATGGAGAGGAAGGTGTCCTGTTTGAGAAGGAAATCAAGGATTTCATGGAGCTGAGGCAGGTCCGTGTGCCTTGGGATGCAAAGTCTGGCTTTGGCTTGTCCAGGATCACCCCTTGAAAATGCCACGTTTTGCTCTGGGATGTCCCTTCCTCCTCTCTCCAAACTGTCCCCTTATCCCTGTGTTTTGGGATGCAGGATTCCCACCCTGGAGCACCTTGACTTTGGTTTATAGGTTTTAAAATATTCCAGACTGGTCAGTAATTGTTTATTTTACCCGTCCTTGATGCCCTGGTTTAGGAATCTTAGTTCACCCCTGGCAAAGCTTAACAGCTGCTCCTTGTCCAGCTGGGCCTGGGAGAAGAGAAAGTATAAAACAATCTGGGAAAGAAGGAAAAAATCCTATTTCTTCCTTATATATATATATCCTAGAAATATATGTAAAATACATATATATATTTTTTTAAATCCTATTTTTACATAGATATTTATAAGATGTATGTGTGTGTGTGTATGTAAAATATATACATAATAT